TAAACTTTCTATAATCTCCTGGAAATGAGGATAAACTTTCTCTAATCTCCTAGAAACGAGGATAAACTTTCTATAATCTCCTGGAAATGAGGATAAACTTTCTAACAAGACTCCTTAACACGAGAATAAACTGTTAACAAAAACAAACAAATTCAATTTGTTTTGAACTACGTTATGACTTGATTCCTTAACCGGATACGTAGGCAACTTGGAATATAACTCCGAGTTCAGTCAATTATGCCAAAAAAAAAGTAAAGAAAAGCCCTAAAAAATAAATTGGGCAAAAAAAAAAGTCCAAAAAAAGAATTGAGCTTAAAAAAAATCAATTTGACAAAAAAAATCTCATCCAGAAAAAAAGAAAAAAAGAAACAAAAAGAAATTCTTTTTTTATGTTTCGAGACTTGTTCACGCCTTAAACGTTTTGCGTCGGCTTAAACAAGTCTCAAGGGGGCATTTTGTAGCCATTAAAAATTAAATGTCTAAATTAAATTAAATATCATGTATTTTGGAATAAAATAAAATTCCAATAATATAAATATATGGTATCTAATTATGCACATATGTTAATTTTTGTACAATAAATATAAACCATTAATGCAAAAATATGCTTAAAATGGAAGATATCGTACAAATATTACGTGCATAAATAGAGTCATAATAAATTTGGCAGCAAAATAAATTAATCTTGTCAATAAAGGAAGTATATAAATTAATATCTTCCAAAAAAGGCAATGATATAAAGATCTTGTAAATAAAGGAAATATATAAGTTAATATTTTCCAAAAAAGACAATGATATGAAGATTTTGGCGAGAAAGGAAGGTGCACAATCAAATCCGTCAAGAATGGAAAGCAGCATCTAATGAAAAAAGAAAGATTATAAAATCTCTCCATCCACGTGGCACCATCCGAAAAGGAAACCAAGGCCACCCTCCCCTATAAATAGGAGCCTTGGCCAATTCATTTACACACCGAAGTTCATTTGAAGACTCACGCAGGGGTAAGTCTCTCTAGACTCTCTGCAATGTTCTTCATTGTTCTTCGTGTCATTCGAAGCGTTCTTTGTCGAAAAGTCACCAATTTGGACAAATGAGCCAATATTGGTTGGCGAATCGATGAAGTTAACGTTCTTCATCGTGTGTCCGAGCCGGAGGAAGGATCAAAGCTCTCAAAGCCATCGAGGAATCCATCAAAGCCAAGGAAGAGCCTCCAAAGCTGCTCTCAAAGCTTCAAGATGTTGGTCGCATTCTTCATAAAAGGCGCAAACCAGGCTCTTTTCGATCCAAAATTCAAAGGGACACGCCGCCAAAAGCGTTATGGAGCACTAAATCCACATCTTCAAGGATCAAAGCTCTCAAAGCCGTTGAGGAATTCGTCAAAGCCAAGGGAATGTCTCAAAAGTTCATCCCAAAGCTTCAAGGTGTTCATCGCATTCTTCACCAAAGCAACAACTCGGCCCTCTTCGATCCAAAAGTCAAAGGGACACGCCGCCAAAAGCGTTATGGAGCACCAAATCAACCTTCTCAAAGATCAAAGCTGCGGATCGTTTAAAGAGGACATCAAATCCAAAGCTTAGGATCAAATCACCCGCACGGAGACCAAAGCCCTCCAAAAGCGGCAAAGACAAATCAAAGATCAAAGCTGCGGATCGTCCAAAGAAGACATCAAATCCAAAGTTGATGATCAAATCGCCCACACGGAGACCAAAGCTCTCCAAAAGGCGGAAAAGGCAAACTAAAGATCAAAGTTGCGGATCGTCTAAAGAAGACATCAAATCCAAAGCCGACGATCGAATCACCCACGCAGAGACCAAAGTCCTCCAAAAGCGGCAAAGCCAAAGCAAAGGTCAAAGTCGCGGATCGTCTAAAGAAGACAACAAATCCAAAGACGATGATCAAATCGCCAACGCGGAGACCAAAGTCCTCCAAAAGCGGCAAAGCCAAAGCAAAGGTCAAAGTCGCGGATCGTCTAAAGAAGATAACAAATCCAAAGACGATGAATCAAATCGCCAACGCGGAGACCAAAGTCCTCAAAAAGCGGCAAACCAAAGCAAAGGTCAAAGTCGCGGATCGTCTAAAGAAGACAACAAATCCAAAGACGATGATCAAATCGCCAACGCGGAGACTAAAGTCCTCCAAAAGCGGCAAAGCCAAAGCAAATGTCAAAGTCGCGGATCGTCTAAAGAAGACAACAAATCCAAATACGATGATCAAATCGCCAACGCGGAGACCAAAGTCCTCCAAAAGCGGCAAAGCCAAAGCGAAGGTCAAAGTCGCGGATCGTCTAAAGAAGACAACAAATCCAAAGACGATGATTAAATCGCCAATACGGAGACCAAAGTCCTCCAAAAGCGGCAAAGCCAAAACAAATATCAAAGTTGCGGATCGTCTAAAAAAGACATCAAATCCAAAGCCGACGATCAAATCGCCTGTACGGAGACCAAAACTTTCCAAAAGCCGGCAAAGTCAAACCGAAAACCAAACTTCTTCGGATCAAAGAAGCCATCGAAAACTAAGTTGGAAAACAAATCGACCTGGAAGGAGAATCAAATGATCCATTTAGAGAATATGACCCGCTTTAAATTCAAATCAAATATAATTTGTACAAATTTTGTGTTTATTAAAAATAACACAATTTTTTGTCCACAATTACAAATACCCTTACAACTTACAATATATTACACAAATGTCATTACCTTTATATCACACATACTAACAAGGTTATTTTAGTAATTTCTACTTTATTCCTACTATATCCCAATATAATACTAATATTTTTAAAACTACGTGCAAAAAACAAATGAATATTTTTTTTGGGACGGAGGGAGTATTTGAAATCACAATTAAACACATAGGTTAAAATTTAGGATAAATTATATAATACCCCTTGTATTTTAGTAAAAATGCAAAAAATATTTTGTATTTTATTTATTGCGTGAACTCTCTTGTTAATTAAAGTATACAAAATAAAATATTTTCTCTATCCAAAGTTGATGTTTTGTTGTAAAAACATAATTAATTATGCAAATTTTAAATTGGGCCTTGGACGGTCGCCCATTTCGCTCGGGCCCAGGAACGACCCCGAAAATATAAAAATAATAAATATATAATTTATTATTATTTTTAAAAAAATATGTGTGAAAAAAAATATAAAAAGTGCAGATTAAGGTGGTGTTTGGCAAATAGCTTTTTGAAGAGCTTTTAACTTATTGAACAGCTTTTAGCTATTTGACTAGTCAAAAAGCTAATTTAGGTGTTTGGTAAATTAGCTTTTTGGACCTAAAAAACTAATTTCTGAAAAGCTAACTTACCCAACGTTTTGAAATAGCTTTTTCTGTAAAAATTTTTTTATTCCTTATATGTCCTTAAAAATTTATTATGCAATTTACACAAATAAATATATTTTGATTATTTATTAATTATATTATAATATTTTATTATAATATAGTTTTACTTTTATAAATTTAAAATAATTAATTTTTATATAAAAATTATTTTAATTATAAAATATATAAATTTATTAAAATCAACATAAAATAGAAAATATAAATATTAATAATTTATTTTTATATTAAAATTACATTATATAAATTTTATACTAAAAATAAATTAAATAAATTAAATTTATTGAAAATTATAAATATAATGAACTAATCGACAACTAACATAATAAATATATACACAAAAAAAATTATTATTTTATATTTTACTAGAAAAAACTATTTATATATTTTAATAAAAATATATTATTTTTTTAAATATAACTGTAATAAAAATAAATACTTTTATAACACTTTTATAATTTTCAATAATTAATAACAAAAAAATTTTAAACATTCTAAACTCAAAAGAAAATTTGAATATATTAGAAATAAACATAAAATAGAAATGCCTTCAATTGTCATTTTACGTATAAACAGCTAATATCAAACAGTTATTTTACCAAACATTTTAATACAAACAGCTAATCGAATTAGCTAGTCAAACCAACTAATTGAATAAGCTAACAGCTATCAGCTAATTGAATTAGCTAACAGCTATCAGCTAATTGCCAAACAACTAATTGAATTAGCTAACAGCTATCAGCTAATTGCCAAACACGCCCTAAGACTGTCATGTAAAAAAATTATAGCTACAATCCATTTCATTTTTTTGGCGGCATATCTCTAGTAATGAAATTTTATGTGAGTGTTTTAAATAAATAATACCTATTGTTTTTCAATATATTACCTATTATTCATTTACTTTTTAGCAAGTATATAATTGAAATACAATATTTATGGAGAGTGCTTTTAAAGAAATTGTTAAATCATATCTAAAATTTATTAAGTGTAGTTATTTTTAGAATTTTGGTTTTCAATTTTGATTTTAAATAATAAAATTCGAATTAAAATAATTGTTGATGTTTTGAATGAAAAAAAATAAAAGAAATATTTTTAGAGATTTTTAACACCTTTAAATTATACTCCATTTGAAGTGTTTTAAATATAATAGTACTCCACTTTTCTAGTAAGTACATGAATGTCATTTTTTAAATTCAAATATTAAATATTGTTTCCGTATATTAAATCATTTATATTAATTTTACTTCTATCCTCAATTTATTGAGTCTTTATCTTCCAATTATGACTATTGGCATACTCATTTTCAAATTAAATTATTTTCTTAGAAAACATATAGGAGTATTATTATAATATATTTTCAAATTAAATTATGACTGCCACGAGGACAAATAAGATTTTAGATAATTAAAAAGGCAGAGGCAGTTACACAAAGGGACAGCCCCAGAAATAAAATAGGAAAATTAAATTAATTTAGAAACACGAATTTCCATTTATACCCTCGGTCTTAAATTTCAACAAACAGTGCCCAAATCTGAGATTTTCACAAAGTTGCCCCCAAATGAGGAAAAGTATCCACCCGCAGTCCCTTACCCTTTTCCCTAAAATAGCGCGAGTCGCAGCGGCGGTTGTACTTTGTCCAGCACGAGTTGTACCTGAAATTAATTGCCTTTAACAAATGCAAATGTAGGAGGTGGATACAGCGATGACTCATCAATGTCTTCAACAGAAATGAATAAGATTGGAGTAAAATCTGGTCTGCAGTTTTCCGGGTTTTCAACCTTTTGCAGAATTGCGGCCAATCGAAGGAGTACCTTCCTTCTCGAGAGTTGTACCCTGAGTTTGCAGTAGGTTAGGTAGACTGAACAGTATATGTAACCGTACTGGGTCACGAAAAAGACGCACCTTGCTTCACATTTGTGTCGTCTGAATAGTCCCCACACTCTCTCCTACCGTCCTGTCTTATGCACCGAACGTTTTGCAATTTTTGAGTGAGAAAGGATCCTCTGCGTGTAGACGGGCGGTCGGACGGGCGGGCTATTGCAGATCAACGGAATTCTGGTTTTTGTTCTTGCTGTTCTTTTTCTTTGCGTTTCGTCAATTCATTGGTGGCTCTTGGGGTTCTTTTGATTTTGATTTTGATTTTTGGTGGTGGAGGTTTGCTATTTATGAAATTTTGTGATGGAGTGTGTGGGGAGGAGGGTGATGAAGAGCTTGGAAGGGGGCGATGCAGTTTTCGGTATGGTTCGGGCTTACGAACCGGCGACTGGGAATTGTAAGATCGTGTACGACGGCGGGGATTCCGAGGAGGTGCATTGGTCGGGGGTTTATTCGTTCCTGGTACCCGCCGAGGCCCCACCTCTGCCGCCGTCGGGGTCGGATGGTGAGGCGGCGAATAAGCGGCGCCGTGTAGGCAATGAAGGAGTTGGTGATGGGAATTCAGTTGGTGGGAGTGGCGTTTGTTGCAATCCGGTGGGTGGAAATGGCGATTCAGCGAAATCTTGCCGAGGTTTGAATAAAGGATTTGATCTGAACCAGGCGCCCATTGATTGCTCCAGTGATGATGAACTCCGCGGGAATGCGGTTGGCTTTGATTTGAATGAGGCAGTGTGCACTGAATTGGATGAAAGATTACAATCGAATGAAGGAGTTTCAGCACAGAGTTCGCGAGCAAACAGAGAAATCTTGGATTTGAATTCTGATGCAAATGAAGCTCTTGGAAGTGAGGGGAGGGGAGTCCGATTCTTTGACTTGAATTTACAATACAAAGAAGAAAAGGAACAGGAAAGGGGGAGTCAATTTGAATCAATTCATAGGATTTGTGGGGAAGAGGATGTGCAGGCAAGGGGGGAGTTGATGGATGATCATAGAGCAAGAGGCAACTCCCCTAATAATGTGGCTGGGGATGAAATTCCCCCACAAAGTGCACAAAGGAAGAGCAGGGGTAAAAAGAGAAAGGATCCACCCAATAAAGATGCTGAATTGGTCAAATCAGAGTTGCCAAAGGTGGATCCTGAAGCTGGCCAAGAGAACCTACCCCTGAGAAGAAAGGGCAAGAAGAGAAAGGAGGTGCCGGGGAATGATAATGCTCAACCTTTGCCGGTGGCACAACCGAAACGGAGCAATCATCGGGCGAGGCGGGCTGCAGCCTCAAGCTCATATCAAGTTTTTGATGCGCTGAGCTCTGCAGCGCTTCCTCCAAAGGTGGAGCTGCCGCCTTCCTCCTGCAATCTGGACCTCTGTGGAGTATCAGTGGCCGATCTTGTTTCGGTTTATTCATTTCTGAGGTCCTTTAGCACATTATTATTTTTGAGTCCTTTCGAGTTTGATGACTTTTTGCTATCTGTTAAAGCTGAGGACTCAACATTATTGTTCGACTCCATCCATGTTTCCCTTTTAAGAACATTAAAGAAACATTTGGAGTCGTTGTCTGAGGAAGGTTCTCTTTCTGCTTCCAACTGTCTCAGGTATTACTTTCACTCTTGCTACAAAGCTGTTACATTTTCAATTTATGGCACTTACAATCTCTAATATTTGAATTTTGATTTAGGTCATTGAACTGGAATTTCCTTGATGTTGTGACCTGGCCTATGTTTGCCCTGCTGTATATATCTTTTCACAGGCCTGTTTATGGTCCTGGATTGGCTGTTGATCAATATTTGCAGAATAACTACTACAAACAGCCAATATCAACAAAAGTTGATATACTTCAACATTTCTGTGATGACATTACAGAAATGAAAGTATTCAGGACAGAAATAAACAGAAGGCTGTTGGAAACAGAGCGATCCACAGGTTTCGAACACAATATAAAAATGGGTCGCTCTACAAGAAGAAAGCCAGTCGGGGATGTTGCTAGCATCTCATGCGTAACCGAGGAGGATGCTGAGGAACTGACAGACGGAAACAATGATGAGTGCCGTCTCTGCCATATGGAAGGCAACTTGATATGCTGTGATGGCTGTCCTGCAGCATTCCATTCACGGTGCGTAGGGGTTGTTAGTAGCTTGTTGCCAGACGGGGACTGGTACTGCCCTGAATGCACCATAGCTAAAGATAGGCCCTGGATGATACTGAGAAATCCGGTCAGAGGACAAGAATTGCTGGGTATCGATCCTCATGGAAGGGCATATTACAACAGCTGTGGTTACCTGCTGGTGTAAGTCTCTCTTTACAGTAGTTAGCTAAGTATATTGCATCCAGTTGAGTTTACTTGTGTTTCGTGTTTGTTTTGATGTCAAAATCGTTGTTGATTGTGATGTTTTGAATGTAAAAGTGGTCTTTTGAATTTCTCTTTATCACAGTGGTTAGCTAAGTATGACATTCATTTAGTTTCTTGAATACTTTACTACTGATTTGACATCTGTGAATGAATGGCATCATATGTAGACCAAACTTGTTAGTTGGCTTTGAAAGTCTAGATTTATTTACAAGTTGTTTCGTTTACCTTGCATGAAAGTCAAAATCTATTGTTATCTAATCAAGATCTGTATTAAGTTCTCATTGAAATTTATACACATTACCTCACATTTTATATGTATATGCACTCCAAAAATTAATTACGACATGACCTTTTTTTCAAAAAAAAGAAAAAGAAGAGGGTGTATAACATTATAAGTTTCTAAAATTGTACAGAAGAACAACTTCTTTATCTCCCAAATCACAAACACCAAATATTATAACATAGAGATGAACTTTACTTTAATAAAAGATGAATGATCATCTCCAGCAGTTGGTTTGCATGTTAATGCAATATCTCAAGGAGAATTCATTTGTCACCTTGGTGGTAATCTACCCACTATACAACTCTTTTGTTTTTAAAAGTATGCGATTGGCACGCTGTGTTTACTTGTGTCTAGATAATGCTGGTTTCACATATGAAAATCATATACTTGCAAAATGCTAGAACGTTTCATAAATTTAGCTTCAATTATCATGGTTTTCTGTATTCAACAGAATCAACACACAAGTAATTTAACTATCAACAATTCTGTTTATGTTGAGTACCAATATGGCATCTTATGTTAGTTTATTGCTGTGTTTTTTTCCTTGATTTTGTTACTCAATGTATCTATATGCTAGAAATTAGGGAATAGGATACGATGAATTGATTTTGAATGATAACGTGCACTGAAATGGCATTATTTACTTTGCATTAAAAGAAAAAGCTGAATTGAAAAACCTGAGATTCTTGCAATTGTTATGTTTTGCCAATGATTATTCATGGCTGTTGTTATTCTAATCTCATTCTTAACAAGATCTATCTAAGTTCATATTTGACTATTTCTACAGATTTAGTCGTGACATGGAAATTATGATCATATTTGTTACCATTTTCATAATTTCCTTCCAAGCACCCTCTCCAATAAAAGATCTCTAGAACCTTTTCTCTTACATACACAAAATTCAGTCATTTTGATTATAATAGTCAAGCCATTAGTCCATTACATATATTCCATATGTTTTAAATTGCAGAAGTTTATGATATACTTCATTAACAATCAAATAATTTAGGCTCCAAGCCCAATTCTAGGACCGATCTAGGCTATGAATGTTCATATTTAATTATTTCTAACGATTTATACCTGACATGGAAATTATGATCATATTTTTTACCATTATATCATAATTTCTCGCTAAGCACCCTCTCTAATAATAGACCGCTTGAACTTTTTCTCTCACATATACATGGTCATTGTCATTTTGATTACAACAATCAAGCCATTACATATATTCCCCATGTTCTGAATTGTAGAAGTTAATGATATACTTGAGTAACTATCAAATAATTTAGTTATTATATATTACTCCGAACCCAATCCTAGGTCGGATCTAGGCTATGATTGTTCATATAAATTATTTCTAAAAATTTAGACGTGACATGGAAATTATGAAGACCTCTTGAACCTTTTCTTTTACGTATACAGTCACCTTAATTATAATAGTCAACCCATTACATATATTTATTATGTTGTAAATTGTAGAAGTTAATGATATACTTGATTAGCTATCAAATGATTTAGTTATTATATATTATTCCAAACCCAATTCTAGGACGGATCAAGGCTATAATCGTTCCTATTAATTATTTCTAAAGAGTTAGACGTGATATTGAAATTATGATCATATTTGTTACCATTTTCATAATTTCCTGCCAAGCACCCTTCCAATGAAAGACAATCTTAACCTTTTCTCTTACTTATACAGTCACCTTAATTATAATAGTCAATCCATTACATATGTTCCTTATGTTTTAAATTGTAGAAGTTAATGATATACTTGATTAGCTATCAAATAATTTTGTTATTATAAATTATTCCAAACCCAATTCTAGGGCGGATCTAAGCTATGATCCTACTTTTCCTTAAGAGTATAGTAGGTGGCGGATGTGCAACATTTGTAGTTGTTGTTCATGCAAGTGTCCCAATTCAAGAGTGAGTGAGGTTGTCCCTTCTTAAATAAACAGTTATTGTAAGCCCAACTAAAATAAAAAAATAAAAAGTAAAAAATACTAGCTCCATCGTTAGAATTTCACATTAAGCACCATATGTTTCACTCTCAAAGTTGGTGAACACATCAAGAAATATATATATATATATATATTTAGAAAAGAAACATCAATTTGTTACTTTCCATTATATATAATTGACATGGGGAATGTAATCGGACTTGGATCATAAGCCAGAATCGAGTTTGGTTATTTTTAATTGATTAGCTATCAAATAATTTTGTTATTATAAATTATTCCAAACCCAATTCTAGGGCGGATCTAAGCTATGATCCTACTTTTCCTTAAGAGTATAGTAGGTGGCGGATGTGCAACATTTGTAGTTGTTGTTCATGCAAGTGTCCCAATTCAAGAGTGAGTGAGGTTGTCCCTTCTTAAATAAACAGTTATTGTAAGCCTAACTAAAATAAAAAAAAAAAAAAGTAAAAAACACTAGCTCCATCGTTAGAATTTCACATTAAGCACCATATGTTTCACTTTCAAAGTTGGTGAACACATCAAGAAATATATATATATATATTTAGAAAAGAAACATCAATTTGTTACTTTCCATTATATATAATTGACATGGGGAATGTAAACGGACTTGGATCATAAGCCAGAATCGAGTTTGGTTATTTTTAAATTCGGGCCGACTGTTAACATTCACATGTCCAACTTGAGTTATTGAGAAGTTGGTCCACAATGGTTGTTGAGCTCAACTAAGTATGTTAATTATGGGACTTGTAGTTGTACATAAATAGTATGTCTACATAAACCTTAAAAACCGTATGAAACGAAACATACATCAGCATATTTAGAATTCACACTAAAGCACCATATTTTTTAACCCCCGCAAAGTTTGTGAACAAATAGAATAGATGATTTGTTACTTATGGGGTTATAATGTTTGTTTCTTGGAGAGTGTTACAATAAAGAGCTTTATATTGTGTTTGGGAAGGATGAATTTCTCCCGACAAGAACCGAATGATTCCTCCAATTCAATCATTATTGCTAGCATTATTTATGGGCTAAACTTGACTCAAGTCCAAAGAATAATGATGTATCGTCAAACTTGGGCTACTTTTGAACACTTAAGCCTAACTTGAGTCATAATAAAATGTGTGAAAATCATGTAATTAACCAAGCATGCTAAATTTGAGAATTTTATTGTTAAATTAAAATGGGGTTTTTATGCTGAATATAATGATTATGTAAAGTAGATTCAAGTTTAATTGAGCTTGAAGAAAACTCATTTCATTAACTAGTCTTATCATGCTTGGGCGCAAAACTCCATGAAATAGTTGCCTTATTGATCTTGAGTTTAGCTCCTTAGGACGATTTGTGTTTGAGGTCCTAAATCTTGATATTTAAATTCACCTTGACTCGATCTTAATTTTAAATGGCATACAATGCCACAAGGTGCAACGTCAACACCATTTGGAGTGGCAATAGGTGTCAAAGACACGTGTCTTTCCCTCTTCAATACAATTGTAGAGGCGCGTGCATCCTAGGCACCTTCCTAAAAAGGATTTCTAGCTCTGTTATTAGCAAATGTCAAACACACGCCTCTTTTCCCCTTAATGCAATTGTAGGGCCGTGTTCTTTGCATGCTCCTCAAAAGGCTTCCTTGCTTCTTTATTAGTTAACATCAAAGACACGTGTCTTTCCCTTCTACACAATTGTAGAGGCGTGTCCTTCACATGCTCCTCAAAAGGCTTTTCTAGCTTCTTTGTTAGTAAATGCTATTCGAGAAGAACTGTATACCTTTGCACTTGGAAGGAACATAACTGTCCTACAAAATTTATTAACCTTTGGACTTGGTGTTGTTCTACTATTGCTTTTATATCTAGTACCATTAAGCATGATATTAACCACAGTTGTTATTCGTATGCCATGGCACAAGTTGCTACCTCAGCACCACTTAGTGGTGAGGAGAGCCTTAGAAACATATCTTTGTCCCTTTCCCCTTTTTAACCAATTATAGAGACCATGACTTGCACCATCTCTTCAAATGTATGTTTCCAACTTTTTTATTTTTGTAATATCGGAGTATTTTAAAAAAATAAGTCCCTTAAATGTATCATCCTTCCCTCTTAACTTTAATCTCTCTCATTCTCTGGTTTGGTGTCTTTCAGAAGAACTAAATACTCCTCTACAAATCTATTAACCTTTGAACTTGTGTCGTGGTTATTTTATCATCCACTTTTCTCATTTGTGTTGACCATCTATGTTTCTTTAAATTTTATAGTTGTATATAAGATTCATTTTTGTTCAATTATTTTATGTTAAGTTCAGTTGATAAGTGTGCAATGTGCTTCTATATGGTTCTAATGCGACTTTGGGATGTGTGCCATGGAAAATGAGTTTTGTTCTTCAATTTCGACTAACTTCTTGTTCTGAATCCTATTTACGGATGAATTGCACCAACTCTTGTTCCGAGTTTTGTTTTATTGTTTCCTTATTTAATTTGAAAATACTTGTTCTCTCTAATTTCCTCTCTAAAGTCATTTGTCAAGTTCTTTGATATTTTAATATCATATTATATAATTGACATTATCTTTTGAGTCTTTTTATTTTATGCATATTAGAGCTTAAACTGTGTAAAAATAGAATAATACATGGTTTTTTTGCAGAATCATTTTTGCTTATTCAATGTTGTGCAGAAAGTATGGTGTGCTTTCAATAGCTTCTGTAATTCATTTCTTATGTATCATTGGCTCTTGTTATATGCCCTATAGTTAGCTACATTTATTACCTTTTTCCTATATTTGTTTAGTGTTAAATAGCTTATGATACATTTTTCTCACATTAATACTGAGCATTGCTTATTATAACTGTCATACAGCATATGTTGACCATTGCACTGCTTACTTGCAGAATGGAGTCTTGGAAAGATGATTGCTTGTATCGGTTCTACAACAGAAACGACTTGGCCACTCTTATTGAAGCTCTGGAATCAACACCATTTATCTACAACTCAATAATAAATTCTGTGTGTAAAACTTGGAATGTAGTTCATGTAGCTGTTGGGGTAAGAAATGATTTGGATGATCGTTCGTACTCTATACAGTCAGCTTTTCCCGAAAGCAGACAACTGCTTGACAATGAGACTTTTGCTGAGAGGTCTCGTGAAAAGTCAATGCCTGCAAATTCAAGTTGTGCAGAACCAGTAAATGCTGGTCTGGGCACTGTTCAGCTGGAGACTGAAACCCATGGAGTGAGATTGGATTTGGCAAGTCCGGAATGTTCAGCCGAAGTATCTCAGACATCTATAAAGCCTGATTCTTTAAGTGAAGCTGGGTTGGCTTGTTCAGAAAAGGGCGCTGATCATTTTCATTCTCCAGGGAGGCTTGAGAATGCTGGGAATCACTGTATGGTTTCAACTTCTCTGGATGCTGAAAAAGGCAGAAACTTTAGTTTGGAGTGTTCTGCACCTCACAATGAAAACTCAGGAGTTCTGTCTAAAGTTCAACACGAGGCAAATTATGTCAACCATTATGAATTGGCTAAAACTGCATCATCATATTTTGAAAATATGACCTGTAAATCTTCTGATAATATCTCTGAAGATGCTACAAAATCTATTGAAGAAAATGTAGCAGGACAACTGAAGGTTGTGTCAAACAGATGTGCTGAATTTTCTTGGTCAAATATTCAAACTTCAAATTTGGTCTCCAGGAGAGAGAGCTGTGGGTGGTGTTGCCATTGTAGAGTTCCAGAAGACGAAAGGGATTGCTTATTTTTTATGAACGATAGTATTCCTGCTGTGGAAAGTTATACCTGCAATGCTTTGGGATTTCAGTCAAGAAATAGTAACAATAATCATCTTATTGATATCAAGTGCCATTATGTATGCATTGAAGATCACCTGCACGGTCTTCTGTTGGGCCCATGGTTAAATCCCCAGTATTCTATGGTTTGGCGTAAAAGTGTTCTAGAAGCAAACAACATTACATCATTGAAATATTTGTTGTTAAAGGTATGCATATTGTAGCTAAATTGTTCTTGCGGCTAATATATGGATGTTGACGTTGTATACTATGTTTATTTCTCCGTTAAAGAGATGCTGAATTTGAATTTTGCCTTTAATCCACATTGCGAGATTCTTAAAGTCTTCCCTTCCTAATTTATTACATATTATATCAGGTTTTTTATACTTTCTTATTAACCAGTTATTTTATTCTTTGTTAATTTGATGCCAGTTGGAGTCAAATTTGCATCATCTAGCACTTTCTTCTGAATGGCAAAAGCATGTGGATTCTGCAGTTACAATGGGCTCTGCTTATCATTTTGTCAATAATTCTGCTCGTCGTGTTCGAGTGTCATTGAAACATGAAAGTGGCAGGAAAAGAACGAATCCATCCAAGGTTAAGACTGTCTCATCTTCGAAAGCTGCATCAGGGATGCGTTTACTCTGGTGGAGAGGTAGAAGGATCTCACATACACTTTTCAATTGGAAAGTTTTGCCTTTGTCTTTGGCTTCCAAAGCTGCTCGCCAAGGTTGGAAGTTTTGTAATTTTTCTATTTTTTGAACTTGTGATATTTGTCCAGTTACTTACCCGAAAATGGTTTAAATTATATTGTTATAGGTGGCTGTAAGAAGATACCAGGCATACTGTACCCTGAAAGTGGGGAGCATGCCAAGAGAACCAAGTGTGTTTCCTGGAGAGCTGCAGTTGAGACATCAAGAAATTTGGAGCAGCTTGCCCTCCAGGCCTGTTCCTTCAATGTGCTTTACATATATATATATATATATATTCTGGTTTTGTCCCGCCTAATTAATGGAAAAGTGAAATAAGCATTAGTTTACTGATTCATAACAAAAGAGATTCTGATGAATTTTTATCATGTTTTCAGGTTAGAGAGCTTGATGCCAATATTAAATGGGATGAAATTGGTAATAACAGACTTCTCGCAAAGGTGGGCAAGGAGGCTAAGAATTCACTTAGGTCATTTAAGAAGGTTATAATCCGGAGGAAATGCTCCGAGGGAACTGCAGTAAAGTACCTTCTAGATTTTGGTAAAAGAAGATTTATTCCTGATGTTGCTGTGATACATGGATCCATGGTTGAAGATTCCTCAAGTGAAAGGAAGAAATACTGGCTGGAAGAATCTCATGTTCCATTGCATCTCCTAAAAGCTTTTGAAGAGAAAAGAATCGCTCGTAACTGTGATGTTGCAAATGCTGGAAAACTTGGTGAGAGCAGTGAAGTCATTATTAAACCCTTCAGGAACAAAGGATTTTCTTATCTCTTCTCAAGGGCTGAAACATCTGAGCAAATTCAATGCGGGCATTGTGACGAAGATGTTTTAATCAGGTATGTCCTTGTTCAAACTTAGAATTTGGTCGCATTCTTATATCAATCTATTAGTTCCTAGAGCATCATTTATAACAGAAAAATCTTATTACAATATTGTAACGCTGGAAATCAAATGATTCCATTTTTATCCTTGAAGTGTTGAATGCCCTGCCTTCTTTGAGGATAAATATTTCCATTATTATCCTAGATGCACAAAAGTTGGATGAATACATTTCCTAAACACAAGACTTTTTCCTTAGTGTACAAGGATATTGCCTTTTCGAGAAGCTAAAAATATGTGTAGTCTTTCTCATTTTCTTAGAATGGTATCAGAATTATGTGCTCCAAAAATGATTTGCTTTTAACCCTTACTCTATTAATTTTCAATAGCAGTGATGCTAATACTGATGTTGATTTGCAGTGAAGCAGTTAGCTGTCAGTATTGTCAAGGTAAAGGCATTCATGTTCCGAGATGTAGTTAGACATTCTTATCTTAGTTATTGTCAGATTGTCATGTTATGTATTTGAATTTCTTCTCTTGTTGTAGTGTAAACCAAATTAACCTGTTCATTTGGTACTTGGATAATATATTTCAGGATTTTTTCATAAGAAACATGTTCAGAAATCAGCTGAATCTGTCAGTGCATATACTTGCCGTAAATGCCTTGGTGGTGAGCCTGTGAAGGTTGATACAGGAAATAGGAAATCTGGGTTCCCAAAAGTTAAGAATGCATCAAAAGCATCAAAACCTTCTGGGAAAGGGAAAAAAAGGGGAGAAGGGGAACAGCCTGTGGATTCTAGAAACACAAGAACAGTTCCGTTAGTTACTCCCTTGCGGTGTTCTGTGAGGAGCGCTGGACAAAATGCTAGGCTTTATTTGCATAGTATTTTAGTGAAAGAGCGCAAGAGGTGCAAAAGGGTTCATTCAGAGGGTGCAATAAAGAAGCCCAAAAATAGTGTTCGGAAGAAGAAGAGGACTCCTGTTTATAGCAGTTACTGGCTGCACGGTTTGAGATTTTGCCGAAGACCAAATGATGAACGTTCAATGAATTTCAGAAATCAAATGCTTCTTGTGTCTTCTGGGGAGATGAATTTCATCTGCGACAAACCAAAATGCTGTCTCTGCAAGGAATTGGAATACAAGTCTGAGTTGAACTATCTAGCTTGTGAGATTTGTGGAGGTAATCTTTTTAATTATACTTTGTATTTTATATCAGTACACCACGTTGCCATTTTGGTAATTGTTTTTTCAATGCCAGATTGTACTATTGTGTCCTGATTTCGATATCCTGTGAGAAGTCCAGCTAGATAATTTTGATCTTAGTTTATACGTGATTCTAATCTTGTAAAGCAATTGATGGAAAATTTAATGGTGTAATGGAGCTTGATTATCGTAATTGAAACCTTAATTTCTTTTCTTGTTATTTATTTCTCCTTGTGTGATTGTGTGCAGCTTGGTTCCATGGAGATGCATTGAATCTTACGGCTGATAAAATTGAACATATTATCAGCTTCAAATGCCATATGTGTCTCGATAAGAGACCTCCTCTCTGCCCCCATCATTTTCCAGTAGGAAGCAACAAAGGGTGAATTTGTTTCAGAAAATTAACCAGAGATTGCACACACTGATGAGCCTGCTAATTGTTTGGTTTGTGTTGATGAAAGATCAACAGAGGTGCCATCTGATTGGAATCTGAATAGATTAATCTTTCTTCAACTGATTGAATCAGACGAGAGATAGGACTTCTGCATCATCTGAGAAGATTTTACCCCACAATTAGTATATAATGAATCTGGTGAGGAAAGGGACAGATATTGAATGCTGCTGAAACTGAATCGACCACTCACAATTCTTGACATGGTCTGGGAAGCTGGATATCAGCCCTAGCTCATAACCCTGTGAATAATGATTTGACAAACGGTAGTATTGCTTTGAAATTTGGAGCAAATAGAGCTCTTACTGACTCATTTGGTAGCCTACAAAAACAATTTTTTGGTGCCAAGCGATGAGCCGTTTGGTGGTATAGGGGAACATAGATTAGACTAGTGTTTATACTTTTCCCTTATCGAGGGAATTTGTTAATACTACAGACATTGAAAAAATCTATTTTGTGAAACTTGAAACATCAGCTGAAATGCGAAAGGTCATTGAGATAAATATACTTGAAATTTAAAGTTAATAAAAGATTATTTGCAGTCACCTTTTTCCTTTCTTTTTTTTTCTTTTCATATCGATATTTCTCCTGTGTTATACTTATGATTGATTGCTTTATCTAACTTTATTCTATGCCATGCTTACGTTACTATAAACACAGACATGTATGTGTGTGTGTGTGGATACAGGTATATGCATTTTAGCAGAACATCTGTTTTTTATGTGGTTTGTTTCTCGGGGACATCGCGGTGCATCAGATGGTTGGATCGACTATGTCATTCTCTGCTTGAGTACAATTTTCCCTTTATCGCCTGTTCAAAAGTTTGGTGTGGTATTTTCTGTCAAACTCACTGATGCAAACCTTGTTTGATGGTTTCTGATTTCTGTGTTTTATTTTTATGTATTTATTTATTTATTTTTCTTATGACGATGATTTCTGTGTTTCATTGAATCAGCTGTTGCAGGCTCAAGTTGTAGTATGAAATGTGTCTTAAAATTGGCTGTAATTTTCCACTTTAAGTTTTACCATTTCATATGCATGTTGTGTGAAAGAACGAATATTTTGAGTACATCTTGTTTCTTTTATTTCCGTTGAACTCAATAATTTTGATTGCTTTTTGACTGCTCAGAGTGTTTTTCCTTTACATCAGAAACACTATTATAGAGCTTTAGTACCACAATCTTATTCAATTGTATTTAGTTTATTTTCAAGTTTTCGCTAAGAGTACAAACATTCAAGGATTGGTGCTAATTGAATTTTTATTTTTAGGATCCATTATATGTTTTGTACAAGGAATATATTACCCCAGCTGGCCTAAGATGAGCATAACAGTAGATCCCGAACACAGGAATTGGAAGATTCTTTTCTACTCTTTATCAGTGATCAATTCAATCTTTAAGTGGGCATTTCTTGGTTGTGATGTTCGTTTGCACTATCTATCTTTAGCAAGCCCATCACAATGAGGTCTTGTTTGATTAAAATATGTACTGCTGGAAATTCGAAGACTTGAAAAGACCCGGCGCATAGCATGATGGTGGTGTTGGCTGAAGGTAAACACTACATACGGCAAAGTTTGTTTAAGATCCCTGTTTGATCTGATTATGGTTTCCTTATAAGGTAGATTGTCAGAAAAATATGATTATCCTAGTTAACTAAACAATCAGTTTGTTCTAGAATGTCATTAAACAACCGATAGAATGGAAACATAATTAGATCATTATTGGAATTTTAACCTTACAAAATAGCAGAGGGCTAAATGTACAGTTAAATATAAACTGTTGCTAAATTTAAGTGTATTTTTACCGTTTCAAGCCTCCCAGGGTTAAATTTGAACATCAGAGGTGTGTGGAAACATATGTTTGGACATATTGCAGGTATAAATAACACAAGCTTTGCCTTTTCTTGAATCTTCTTCCTTGATGCATCGAATTAATCATGTCTAATTGTTACAGGATAAGTTGTCTGTGTCTTCACCATCCATTGCGGAATCATGGATGTATTCTGATGGTTGCCTGTGCTGCTGTTGGTCTTGTTGGAATCAGATATATAAATTCACCTCTCAACACACAGGCAGCAGAGCCCCCTGGAGTGATCAAGAAGGGGTATTTTTCGCCATTAAAGTGCCTGTCATAGTGTTAACGCTTGTGTTCTTTTTTTTTTTTTGAATAGTGGATTGAATAAGATGTTTTGTGACTATAACAGCATATGTTTACACGGACTTACTCTCTGTCCAGGAAAATTATGAAGATTAATAAATAACAATAATTTAATGTTATAGAGGGGTATATAAAAAATAAAGTTGTGATGTTTATGGAAATTTGTTATTTTAAAATGATGAAAAAATGGTGGCAAATTAGTGAATAAAATTGTGTACTAAATTAGCCATAAGTTTAGCAGACGGAGATAAATAGTGTTACTGATAAATGTACTAATATGCATTGTAATAATGACATAAAAATAAAGGTATTTTAGGAAGTATGTTGGTAAGTCAACGAGTTGAGAGAAAATCTAAATAGTTGTGGCAGGCATATACCATTTTTCCATTTCTTGGTATAGGGGAGGGATTTTTGTTATTGCTACTGAAACTTAGAAAAATTTCATAAAAATACAGTACAACACATACATGTGTGCTTGTTTATATGATTTCAATACAGTAATAGTTTGCAGTAAGTAATATAATAATAATAATAATATATTATGCTCTCCTACTACTACTACTATTATTATTATTTCATATTATCACTAAAACAAGGAACACACCACACTCACTCTATACTGGAAAGCTAAATGAAGAGCAGCAGCAGCAGCAGCAGCAGCAGAAGATGCACTGCACTGTAAAGGCTAAGCAGCAGCACTTGGCTTGTATAGTTTCTCCACCATCTTCCTATATTCTGTATTTGATATATGTAAATACATGCAGCAAAAGTTTATTTCTTCACATGTCCAAACATACTTTAAAATGACGAGAAATGTACCTTCTTGATGACCCCAGAGAGCTGCTGCCTGTGTGTTGAGAGGCGAACTGATATTTGGTTCTAAAACAGACAACCAAACAACATAAGAATACATCAATTATTTGATGGCTTTGTCAGAATAGTTTATTTACCCCCAAGCAAGCTCTGGATTGAGAGCAGGATTGTCCTCACATCATACACAGATGACCACTTATCCTGTAATTATATATAAATCATTCATTCCATAGGATTAATTCATTGGACAAGAAGATTCGAGGAAGAGGTAAATCTTGTGCCATATATATATATATATGTATGTACCTGTAATATGTCCAAGCATATGTTTCCATAGACATCAATGTTGGGATGAAAGCAGGCTGTCTCGAACTTAACCTTTGGAGGTTTGAAAGGGTAGTCGGAGGGAAAGGCTAGCGATAACTTGTACTCTGTTCCTTCGAAGACTGTATCTTTGCTGCCGCTGATTGTTCCTTTCCAGCAGAATATGTTGTCTTCTTCGGGGAAGGCAGATATGCCAGGATCGCCGCCCATCTGTGTAGATTACAAGAAAGTGTTATATATATATATATATATATAATTCATAAATTTGGATGTGGATTCAAGGTGTTACCATTAGGGCCATAAGCTCAGACTGTAGCCTGTGAATTGAAGAAAATGATGAATTAGACTAAATTGGAATTGGAGGGTTTCATTTGCCCCTAAATCTTGATGAATTAGGGCAAAATCAAAAGAATCATATAATTAGATCTGAATCACACTGAGAATCAAATCGCAAGTTCGGAACAAAATGCATTGCACAGATTAGGGTTAGAAGACCGAATTGAACAATGAATCGAAATTGGATTTGAACAAATTAGCTACAGGTGGATCAAGAACAATTGAGAAACCGAAAATTGATTCACGCAAGAAACGAAACCCTAAAAGTGGTGGAGAAAGCTCATACCTCTTCAAAACAGACTGCGTATCGACACTTTTCGCAGGGGCCACTGTCTGCTTCGCCATCGCTGCCGCGGCGGGGGTGTTGGGGTTGCTATCCTGGTGGCGGCTATTGTTTGTCGTCGCCATAATTTCCACCTCCAGCTACGTAATCGATCGAATTCAAGGAAATGGCAAACAAAATCGATGCGGAATCACAACGCCCTTGTGCGGATCGAAGAAGAAGAAGAGACCGCAGGTAATTAAAGAGAACTCTGGATCGATCGATCTTCTTCTTCTCCCAAAAGCAAATCGAATCAAGTGAAGATTAACAGAGAGAGAAATGAAAGACGAAGACAGTACACTGATAAGAGATGCGATATAAAAAGAGACGTTTTGTGGTTTCGAAAATTCAAAATACAAATTTTCGAACGTTACTTCCACGCCGCAATCCTAACGGCTAGTTTTATTTTCTTTCGTAAGCTATATGTACTATTAGGGTTTATACGGGCCACAATTGGGCTGTTCAAATTAGGCCCAACACAAATAAAACAAGCCCAATAATAATTCAGCTCTAGTTATTGCTTATGTTATCTTATAAATATTAGAGAGAAAATCTTTTTTGTTCCATCTTAAGATTGATCAAATTAGGTATCATTTAGAAAATAAAATCAAATTCGTGAACTTAGTTAGTGAATCCTTCAAGTATAAAATTTGAGGAAAAAAGGTTGAAGTTTACCATTGTAGAAATTGTTTGAGAAATAAATTGGTGTAATTATGATTAATTTCTAATGATCAAACTTAAATTGTAACCTCAAAATGTAGGTCTTTACACTAGGTAAACAAGTTTCGGTGTTCTTATTTTTCATTTATATTGTTCAGTGATTTAGTGGATGGATAGAAGAATATAAGTTGTATTAGAAATCAATTATAGATTGAGCTATCATCATATTATATTAAGTGTTCTATTAAATTAATAATGATTGAACTATCATCAGATTATATTAAGTGTTCTATTAAATTAGATTTATTAATTTACTGGGCCTAGATGTATACTTCCGATGTGATGTGCAGAAACTCGATAACTTATTAATTGGGCCATGAGACCAATTAATAATTAGGAATATAAATTAGGGTTGTGATCCCAGGTGTCCATCTATATCTAATCGTGGTAATAACGGCATAAACTCTGCCGGTTTTCTTAAGAGGGTTGCGTCATAGGATTGAAGAACACAAAACCGTCTGTCAATTCGTAGATCCAAATCCGTTTGCGCTAATGGAATAATGTTATATTTAATTAGTTTTATTTTATTATTTCAACACGTCAAATCCTGAGCTTAAGTTTAAATTCCTGATAAGTTCAACAATTGGTATAAGAGATTATTGGGAGATTTTATTTGATAGATTGATGTTTGATTGGTCCGATTTAATCCAAGCAAAATTAATATATTTTATGTTAGTTTAATTAATTAATTAATCATATTTGAATTTTGATTATTTTGAATTATCTTATATAATTAAACTGACCTTAAATTGTGGCCCACTTTTCTCCCATTAAGTCTATCACATTCAAAATATACGCGAGAAGTGGCAGAAAAATCGTGATGGACGGTTTCTCTTTTTTATTATAAATACTCTTACATACGGGTTACTAAACTTACTCTTAGAAAATCATAATACACCATCGCTATTTGAGAGCCAGGGTTTGGCAACATCATCATAGGGTTCCAAGATCTGACAACATCTTCACATGGTTCCAAAGTTTGACAACATTCTCCCAAGGATTCCAGAGTTTGGCAACACCATCTTCCCACGGTTCCAATCTACCGTTTGCTTGAAGAAGAGAATATCGAGAATAACTTTAATTTTTAGCAATGGCTGGAGGTTTGTTTAAATTTCGCTTCCGCTAACATATTTGATTATATGTTTATTTTCTAACATTTGGTATCAGAGCAATTTTTGCCTCTGCCTTGCTTTGAATTTTCTTCTCGTCAAATTCTTGATCAAGATTCGCTTTAATTTTTATTTGGAAATATTTTTGTTGTTTATTTTCAACAATTGCTTTGCGATATTTCTTGATCAAGATCCAATCCTGCGATTTGAGAAAATTTCATTATGTTTTGAGAAAAATTTTAAATTTTATTTTGAAATTAATTTATGTAAAATATTAAATTTATGAATTTTTCGTGTGTTTCGATGGAGTGTTCAGATTCTTCTGTAATGTCTTCTGTGCACTTCATATCTGTGTCAACTTGTATGCGCAATTAATTACCTTGAGAAAGCAGTTTCGTGTTGAATAATTGAGATATTGTATGGGATCAATCGATTGAAATCATATACACTATAATTTTATTGGATCTACTCCCGACACGAAAGAAATCAATTGTTGTTTGATGAGAAATCTAGCAATTCCGGCTTCTCTCTTGCTTGGCGGCCTATTCAGTTTGCGAAATAATCTTCAATTCTATCATTAGCCGTGTGGGTGGTATTAATTATTGTGATATTAGAAAGAAGTGTGTGGGCAGCCTCTGCTATGACTTCTCAAACTTGGATAAGTTCCTCAATATAATTGCTATATAGATTTGTGTGATTCACATTAATATACTGTGTTTTACTTTGTTGGATTGGTTATACACATATATTATAATTTGAATTAGATGCATGTAAATTTGTATTTGTCTGTTTGTTGACACCAAAATAAATTATATCGGGGTGCCTATTTATTTATATATTTAATATTTGCATTTGGTGAGCAATTGCGAATTAATAGTCTTTTATTTATTTAATCAACCATTTGGGTCAAGATTGACGTTCAATTTATATATATCCATCCAGTTTGATTATTGCAGAATTAATTAATTAATGTGTGTATGTTAATGTATCTGCAATTATATTTAATACATGCACAATCTATTTATTTATTTATGGCTGATTTTGTGAATATCATAATTGTAGATTCATTATGATCTGTTTGAAGGTCCAATTAAATTTGGGATATAACATGTGTTTTCGACATTATGCATTTATGCAAATTCGACTATAAATATTCATTATATTAAATTTATAGTCTCTTTGGGTGACATATTTTTGTCTGTATAATTCAGCTGCACTTAGTTGTTCTTGGACTACTAAATTATTTTAATGAGTCCATAAATTAATTGTTGTTATAGCTTTCATATGTATTGGACATACATAGTTTATTTTAAGGTGAATTTAATTAGCAATAAGGAGTATAATATATTTTATGAATTGGTTGAAACAGTAATGTTGTCAAAGCAGCCTCTGCTGAGCAGATCGGTTTATTTTATATGTTAGAAAGTTGTGTATGTAATTTATAAGGTTGTTGATTGACCTAAAGGCAAGTCAGCGATTAAGTAGTTACATGCATGTTTAGTGACAGTTAATATGGTGATGATAATTTGGTTATTTGTGTGTGAATATAGATTTGTCCAAAAATGGAGTATTGTTCGACACACTACTTTATTGTCAACTTTCGATTGTCAAAACAAATTTATCATTGGCGAGTCAATAATTTGTCCAAAGACAACTGTTGATGTTGCTCAATAGCTTATAGAAATGTGTACTTTAGATTGCATATTCATGATTTTTTTGATTTATTTTAAATTTTATTTAATTGGGGAATAGCCACAACATCCTCGATTAATTAAACATTTATTCATGATTGATTTGAAATCATATTAATAGACATTAATTGTAATTATCATGTACAATGTAATAAGATCTACCCACAGGAGTCTTGTTATATTTATATGAGTAATTAGGATAAAGTATCGAATTGTATTTCTTAATCTACCCACATGAGTTAAGAAAAGGAACACAATTTGATAGTTTTATTGTTAAGTTTTTGTTTGAATATAATTGAGTAAAACTTTAGCCCACAGACAAGTTTTATGTCTCTAAATTCATGTTTTAACATGTTTACATTGGTAGAACATGTAATTTACTTGTCTCGTTTATTGATGAGCATGTATATTTAATTTTGGAGCGTTTAATCCTATGAATTTCTCTGACATTAAGTGTGATGTCCCCGAATTGACTGGTGATAATTACGAAATCTGGAAGAATGGATCCTCCTTCATTTAGGTTGGATGGACATTGATTATGCCAGTCATTCAGTTCTCCACCACGAGATTTGCGGGTGTGAGGGGTGTGCGCGAGCACATAATGCGGATGCGGGACATTATCCTACAGTACACATAAAGATAAATGGTCCATCAATGAATTGATGACCATGTGTGTTAAAGAGGATGAAAAATTATTGATGGAGGAATGGAGAAAATTTAGTTTGTAAGCTTAATAAATCCATATATGGATTGAAGCAAGCCTCTTGTCAGTGGTATTTGAAATTTCATGATGTTATCTCTTCATTCGGCTTTGAAGAAAACGTCATGGATCACTGTATATACCATAAGGTTAGTGGGAGTCGTATATGCTTCCTTGAGTTGAACGTGGATGATATTTTGCTTGCAACTAATGATAAAGGGATGTTATATGAGGTACCTTCAAGGTACGAAGGATTTCATGCTCATGTATAACAAACTGATGTCTTGGAAGTGATTGGCTACTCCGATTCGGACTACGCCGACTGCATTGACACTTGGAAATTCACATCGAATTATGTGTTAATGTTGGCTGGTGGAGTTATCTCTTGGAGAAGTGCAAAACAGTCTATCACTGCTACTACCACTATAGAGGCTGAGTTTGTTTCATGTTTCGAGGCTAGCTCGCATGGTGTATGGTTCAAGAGTTTCATATCCGAGCTTAGAGTCGTTGACTCTATTTCTAGACCGATCAAGTTGTACTGTGACAACTCTGCTGCGGTGTTTATGGTTAAAAGCAATAAGAGTGGGTGTCGAAGTAAACACATCGACATTAAGTATTTAACCTTAAGATAACGTGTCAAGGAAAATAAAGTGGTCATTGAACACGTTAATACAGAGTTGATGCTTGTGATCCCTTGACTAAAGGCATACCACTAAAGAATTTCAAGGATCACGTAGCAAGTATGGGACTTGATTATACAATGTAGTTTATTTGCGCACATTGTTATTTGAGACTCTTATTCAGTTTGATGTTTTCTCGCTTTATTGTGCACATATTTGTTTATTATTGAGAAAAACTCGCTTAAGTTTAACCCGGAATAAATATAAGATTTATTCATTAAGTTGTGAATTTAGTTTGAGATTCTTGACATATCGTAATACATGGAATGTAACATTCGTTTATAGAAGACCTACCGCCATGATTTGTATGTAAAGTTTCTCGTTATGTTGTGATGGTTTGAGTGGGCCAAGTGGGATAATGTTAGTTTAATTAATTAATTAATCATATTTGAATTTTGATTATTTTGAATTATCT